GGGCATATAATTCATAAAATTGGAATCAATTATTCCGAAACACATCAAACCCACTATAGTGAATAATAAAAATTACCTTTGGACTTATAGCCCTCAATGGTGCCCAAAAATAAAATGGTAGACACGGGCTAACATCATCAAACCTCCCAACATAATATATATGTAGTTCACAAAATTACGATGTTCACCCATAAGCGGAGCATAATAAGAGGACTCGCCTCAATATTTAGAGCCGAATCAAATTAAGGAAAAATATCCTTTTATAACAAATCAGGATCATACATGTAACGACACCATCTGGTGTATCGGCCTCATCCAAATCATAGCGATTATATCAATGGGTCGGGCCTCCACCTCTTAGGCGCCCTCTAGCCGTCTGTCCTCCACCCCTAACTGGTTGTGCACGTGGGGTAGTAGCTGCACTGGGGCCCATAGTATGAGTGTTCTGATAAAATCCACTCCTCCCAAGTCCGGGACAATCTCTCATAATGTGCCTAGTGTCACCACACTCATAACAGCCCCTCTGAGGTCGCAACTGCTCGTACTGAGTCTGTGCCGGATAATTGGAATAACCACTGTAAAAATTTTATGTCGGTGGTGCACTATAAGAACTTATTGGGGCACCTCGAGTAATCTGATGTGCGGATTGAGCTGGCCGACTGTTCGAACCTCCGCCATAATGGGTCATAGCTGAATAGTAAAATCCACTGAACCCTCCAGAGCTTCGAGACCTTTTGGCCTCCTTAGACTCCCTTTCTTCACCTAAAACACCATCAATCCTCCTCGCAATCTCCACTACTTGCTGAAATGGAGTATCAATTTGCAACTCTCAAGCCATGCATATTTTAAGATCATAATCGAGCCCCTCAGTGAATCTGCGGACCCGCTCACTCACGGTAGGAACCAAAGTAGGTGCACGACGAGCTAACTCACTGAACCTGATGGCATATTCTGACATTGTCATGGTGCCCTGATGCAACCGTTCAAACTCTGTGCGCCACGTATTTCGAAGGATTTGGGGAACAAATTCCTTCAAAAACATATGTGAAAACTGAGCCCAAGTATGTGGTATTGCATCGGTTGGTCTACCTTCTTCATAGATTTGCCACCACTGATACGCTGCGCCAGAAAGTTAAAATATAGTAAAGGCAACTCCGCTCACTTCCACAATACCCATGGTGCGGAGAATACGATGATAATTTTCTAGAAATCCTTGGGCATCCTCTGTAGCTGTGCCACTGAAAGTAGGTGGATTGTACCTCTTAAACCTCTCTCAAGTCTTTTTTGTTCTTCTTCTTATGCCTCAGGCCTGACCTCAAGCCGAACCGGAATAACAGGTTGTACTGGTATTATACACGGAATCTGACCAACGTGAACCTGCTCCTCTGGAGTCGTGGTAGGAGTCTGAGCTACTCCCCCAATCTACGAAATATTTGGTGCAACAGAGATCAATCCCGCCTGAGTTAATGTACCAAACATACTCAGGAACTGTGCTAAAGTCTCTTGAAGTCCGAGGGTAACAACATGTGCTTCTGATACCTGTCCTCCGACTGGAGCTACTGGCGGCTCCTCAACTGTTATTCTGACAGGTGCTCTAGTCGCGGCACGTGCCCTTCCTCGACCTCTACCTCGGCCCTGGCCTCTTGCAGCCCTAGCAGTATGTGTGGATGCCTGCTCAGCTAACCTGATAGCACGTGTCTTCACCATCTGTGAGAGAATAGAGATACAAAGGCTCAAATTCCAAATTCAACAAATTCCGAACGACATGAATGAAAGAAGTGAAAATTTCCTAACAGTTCTGTAGCCTCTCGAAGATAAGTACATACGTCTCCGTACCGATCCGCAAGACTCTACTAGACTCGTTCATGACTAGTAGAACCTATGAACCTAGAACTCTGATACCAACTTATCACGACCCAAAATCCCACCACATGCGTCGTGATGACACCTAGTCTCTAAGACTAGGTAAGCCGATTTTCATTACATTTTGAAGCCATCTTTTTTTTTTTGAATATGAATTGAATGGGTAATCAAAACCAACAACGGAACAAATATGAATATAACAACCTCCTAAGACTGGTAGTACTGAGTCACGAACTCTAACTGAATACATGAAATGATCTCAAGGATCGAATACTCAATACTGTTGGATTAAAATTCAACTTTCGGCATTTCGAGCCTAATTCCACTACGGATCTCCAAATAATTTTTCGGACACGCTCCTAAGTCCAAAATTACCATACAGAGCTATTGACATTATCAAAATTCCATTCCGGAGTCGTTTGCTCAAAAATCAACTCTCCGGTCAACTCTTTCCATTTAAGCTTCTAATTAAGGATTGTTTCTTTTAATTAATTCTGAATCTTTCAAAAAATCAAACTCGACCACACCCGCGGGTCATAATACTTATTACGAAGTTGCTCGAGACCTTAAGTCGCTGAACGGGGTATTAATTCTTAAAATGACAAGTTGGGTTGTTACACTAATGTTCAATTGTTACTAACTTTTATCACTTAAATACAAATGCACAACGAATACAACTTGTATCAATTGCATTCATTCGTGCAACGAATACAACATGTATCAACTGTATTCGAGACACAATTGTATTTATTCGTGCAACGAATACAATACGTATCATTATAACCAAGGCGAAATATAAGGGTGTATACAAAGGATACAACCTGTATCCACTGTATTCGTTCGCTCAAATGAATACAACTAAGGTGAAATACAAAAATATAGAAAAATAAAAGGCTCTTATTGAGAGTCAAACTTAGGACCTCCGCTAACTAAGCCGGTGCTCTAACCAACTAAGCTATGAGAGTTTGTTGCTCTCTTGTTTCAGTTCAAAATAATTAATCCCTTATTTTATGGATTTGCTATAAAATTCAAATATAGCTACGGATGGTAAATTTATTGAAAGTATAGCTACAGATGGTAAATATAGTGTATATGTTTGATGTGTTGCGAAATTTTCACAAATTTCAACTACAACAGCATAATACATTGGGTTGAGCAGAAAGAGGCCATGGAAGCATATACTAAAAAGAAATAGAAATGACATCAGGTAGCCACTCTAAAAGGGATGTTATTTAAGAATTAGTCATTGTGTCATGAATTTTGATTTTCTAATTCAATTTTTTGGGATACAAATGTCCTGAATTTTCATGAAATTCAAAATTTTAATTTTAATTTTATGAAAAAATAAATATTGATTGATCCCTAAATAACAACCCTAAAAATGGCTGTTTGTGCATTTTGCCCTAAAAAGAATCTTACTTTTCCTGGGCTTTTTCTTATCATTCCTTGGGTTCATGTTGAAAGCAACGAGAAAACGACACTGTATAGCCGCTCTCAAAATAATAGTTTATATATATATATATNCTTTTTCGACTATCAAATATAAATAGTTTCTAGCACAGGTTAAAAATAAAAAAGCCCAAAAGCAACGGCCTGCTATTGTGGCCCATCACGAGATTTTGCTGTGGCGCATAATTGTGCACCTTCTAAGTTTCTTTATGATTTATCCAGTAGTCCATTTCGTACTCTTGTTCTTCAAGTGGATTTATCTATGGGAGTAGGAAAGTTTTCAACCTATTAGGGGCGTTTGGTTGGTCTTTTAAAGGAGTTAATCCATATATAAAATCCAGTATAACTTTACATTGCCATACCAACATTTCTAATAGCATGTTTGGCCAAATTTCTAAAGTTTACTTATTTTGAAAAATATTTTTATTAATAAAGTAAAAAGTATTTTCTTTTATTTATGTGGCACAAATTTTAACATTTTTTTTGCGTGAAAAAGTAAAATAGGACATTAGTCCCTTTAGGTTTGCATGAAATTTACAAGAATAATTAAATTCTTGAAAAAAATAAAGTACTCAAAACGTTGGGTATTTGTAGTTTGGGGGATGGGGGAGAGATATAGAAAACATGTGGATTTGGGGGAAGGGGTTAAGGAAAGTAGCATACAAAATTATTTACTTAAAAAATATTTTCTAATCTCTAAACAAACACTAAAAAATATTTTTCGGAAAAAGTTTTTCACTCGCCAACCAAACAAGAAAAAATAAGTGATAAAATCACTCATTTTTCAAAGAAAATATTTCCCTTCATGCCAAACACACCCCAAGTGTAGACTTTTGAAAGAGTTTGTATCACTTTTATGGCTTCGGATGCCTCGAGTTTGTACTTCAGGCTCATGTATTTAAGTCGCAATATGTTGACAAAACTCTGCCTTATGATATCTGAAACTATTATTTTTTACCAAAATATTAAAGTTTGTTTTGGACATTGATACAATTTCCTCAAATAAGTCATATGTAGTCCTTATTTCATCTGTTGATTAACATACTGCTAGTTCGGTTATAAGTGGTCGTGCTCTCACTATCGATGCTACAAAGTATGACATATGGATGCAAATATGTATGTCATTTGATGTATTTTTCGTCTTGATAGGAGGTGAATATGTAATAGTTGTTGTAATATTTATTTAGTTATAATTTTTTTGGTTGATAGATCTCCCAAATTGCAATTTTGATGAATCAAAGGTGTCTATTTATAGTATGAAATAGTACAAGAAGAGCAAGAATGGAATCCCTATGGCCTCCTCTCGTCCGCGAACTTCTGGATTAGGTAGAATCCTTTCCTCGTATGCTTGCTAATAAATTAATTTTTTTTTGTAAATGTATCTATAATTAAAACAAATACATATTGGCTCACCTCTTTGATAGACTTTCCAGTCCAAAACGGGTTACGTGTCACGTAGTCATTGGCATATCTATTTAATCTCCAATACCGACAATAAAATATTAATCATAGAGTCCACCAATTTTCCAATCCATTTAAAAAACACATTATCCATTTTACCTTCTGTTTCCTTTTAAGCAAAAAGCACAATCCTCACTGCATAATATACAACACTTAACAGCTCTCTCCTAAAAACAAGTCGATAATTACAGAACAAAAAATAAAAAAAGCAAAACAAAACGCCGTAGTAATACCAAAAAACCCTACACACAATAATTTCTCCGCCATCTTCAAGCTCCGAGTCAACTCTCTCTTTCTCTACTTTCTCTCTCTAGATATATTCAGGTATATGTAATTCTGAAGTAGAAATTTAGGAGTTATGGCGGCTGCGGCGACGGAGAGTTCATCGGCTAGATCTACAAGTGGAGGATCATCGGCTGATTCGTATATTGGAAGTTTAATTAGCTTGACTTCAAAGAGTGAGATCCGTTATGAAGGCATTCTCTATAACATCAATACTGATGAGTCCAGTATCGGTCTTCGCAACGGTACTTGTTTTTTTTTAATTCTCTTAATTTCAGTATAATTTTGGTTATTTTGTCGATTTTTTGAAATTTAGATCCTTATCAACTCTGATGAGTCCAGTAACGATCTTCGCAGTGGTACTTTTTTTGCTTATTTATAATCCGGAACTATTTTTGAATTATCTCTTTATTTTAGTATACTTTTGGTGATTTTATCGATTTTTTTTGAAACTTAGATCCATATTTATCTGATTGATGATTGATTTCAGCTGCTACTTTAGGCGGAGTTATTTGCTTAGGGCGAAGCTGGTTGTAATTTAACTTTTTTTTTTCCTTGTAAGAGAAAAATAGAGCTGAATTACGTGCTTTCATGAAAGCTTACTGAAAATTGACATTTTTCATTTTTAATTTTTCTGTTAAAGAGAAAACTTGAGTTGAATTGATGCCTAATTATCTCTTAATTTTATAATTTTGGTGAATCCGGTATTCTTTTTGAAAAAAAATAGATTTTTATTTATTTGATTTATGATTGATTATGCACCCAGCTTAAAGTTCATAGAAAGCTGAGATTTTTATTATTGTAAGAGCAAAAATGATTTGAATTAGGTGCTTTGATGTGTTTTTCAGAATTCGTATATTGCTATTTTTTTGGATATATTGGTGTAAGGATGTGAATATGTATGTTGAGTTGATAGTAAATAAAGTTGGAACCTTAGTTAAGATGAGGGAATATTACTGCAACAGGTTAAGGGCAGGCGGTTGTGTATTTGTAACAAAATTGAACTTGTAGTAGATGAGTTAAGCTAATTAGTTGCAGAAAAATTGGAAATTCATTTTTATGTGCATTTGTTGTTTAACTTGTTCAAAGTAGCATTGTGAAAAATGAAAATTGATTCCTATGCTGAATCATGTCTGTAGTTTTACTTTCTTAACTATCATGATATTGATATGACAATGTGGTGAAGCTATTTTGAACATCAAGGAAAAAGGTGATTGTACTTATGCCATGATGGAGTTTTCTAGGTTGAGCTTCTGTTGTTAATAATGTGTTCGCTGAAATATAAAGTGATATAGGATCTCGCAATTGATTATGATTTTTCATTGCAGTAAGATCATTTGGAACAGAGGGAAGAAAGAAGGATGGTCCTCAAGTACCTCCGAGTGACAAAATTTATGAATACATACTTTTCCGTGGAAGTGATATCAAGGTAATATGCTCCGCTGTGGACTTTTATGTTATTTTGGTTCGTTGTAAACTTAAGTGCCATCACGTAGTTCTTTGTGAGATCTCTCTCCTTTATTTTGTGAGATCTCTCTCATTTTTTTTTAAACGTAATAGTGTTGTAGATATCTTGAAGTCCATTTATAAGTTCGAAGAGTTTCTAGTGTTTTAATTGTTCAAAAGCTTATTTCAGAAGTGGGAGCAATCTTCTTCTCTTTAGATTTATGGTACTCTGGTATACAATTTTCTCCATTACAAGAACTTAACTTTGGGGTTTATGTCGGAAAGACAAAAGGCACTTAATAAAAAGTGTGAACTTGTTACTCAGTGCAGCACTTACCTTTCTTTTGATCTTCGTGATCAAGAAACAAGTTCATTACACTATGTATCCCAGCATTTGATTAGATGACCCTTAAGTTTGAGTCTTTGTTTTTTTAGCATGGCCCTTAGGTAAGCGAATAGTGCTGATATCCTTTTGATGTGATTTTCTGATTAGCAAATCATGTTCTCTGCTTGATTGCACTAATCTGGTGAAGGTGCAAAGGAGAGGCTATGTGCACCGAAATTCATTAAGTCATATCCTCTGTTTGTATCATTTTGAGTTGGCATTAGTTCAGGAATTGTGTTGGTTGAAATGTAGAAGGTAGATATACTTCTTCAGGAACCTGAGAATTTTTTGGTGAAAAAACTTGGTCTCCTTACTTAAAGAGGTACCTTACAATTGAGAAACATAAGAGGTAGGCAAAGGATTTTCGCTGATGAAAGTTAGAACACTCAGTGATAGGCAAAGGATTTTCGCTGATGAAAGTTAGAACACTCAGTGATAGGCAAAGGATTTTCGCTGATGAAAGTTAGAACACTCAGTGATAGGCAAAGGATTTTCGCTGATGAAAGTTAGAACACTCAGTGATAGAGTGAGAGAAAGTTACTTTATCAAAAAGGGTGAGAGGAAATTATTAATCATATCGTGCGTGATATTGGCATCTATTTACTTGTTGGGCCAGTAGCTTTAAATGCAGACATTAGGTTTTCTTATAATTGGCATATGTCTGGCCGTGATATTTGCATAATTGGTGTTTCATAAATGAGTTGCATTTTGCCCAAATTTTCTTTAAACTGATACACTGAGCTAAATGTTGATATGTATTTTGCTTCTTGCAGGATTTACAAGTCAAGTCTTCGCCACCTCTTCAAACTACACCACCAATAAACAATGACCCAGCTATTATCCATGTAAGCATAAAGCAATTGCACAAATGTTTAATATTGTGTGTGATTGAATTCTAATTCTTCTAACTAACCTTCAGTCACACTATCCTCGACCACCTACAACATCAGCAAGTTTACCTGCTCCTGTTGGGGGATCTTTGACGGATCTAAGTTCCCATTCTGCACAGCCGGGACATCCTGGCTCAGCATTCCAAAGTGGCCTGCCTTTGTATCAACCCGGAGGGAATTTAGGATCTTGGGGTCCATCACCTCCTCCTCCAAATGCGGGTGCTGGTGGACTTGGTATGCCAATGTATTGGCAAGGTTTTTATGGGGCACCCAATGGACTACCACAAATGCAGCAACAATCTTTGCTTCGTCCTCCTCCTGGACTTGCCATGCCTCCTTCCATGCCGCAGATGCAGTTTTCTGGTTTCAATTCGTCTTTGCCAACTGGAGGATCAAGCCTACAGGCGTCAAACTTGCCAGAATACCCTCCTTCATTGATGCCTACAACTACTAATCTAGGCGCTAGTTCTTTATCTGCTGCTACTTTGCCTTCAACTGTGCCTCCCCTGCAACCTGTGGCACCTGTGCCTGAAACAATATCCAGCACACTTTCAAACAAGGCTTCTGTTTCTGCTATTGCCCCATCGACATTAAGTGCTAGTTTACCGACTTTGCCTCCTTTGACAACCAGTCCTGATGTAAATCCTGTTGTACCGCCAATATCTATTAAACCCAATCCAGTACCTAGCCCAGCTTTGTCTCAATCTGTATCTACTGTCATGGGGCCATCCAGTTCTAATCTAGTGGATACACCCACACCTTCGCTGGTAACTCCGGGGCAGCTGCTGCAATCTGGACCAATTGATGTTCCATCAACTCAATCTACTCAGACAGCTCAAAAAGATGTTGAAGTGGTACAAGTATTGCCTGCACCATCTTCAGAAACTCCAGCTCCTGTTAAAACAGAAGCTCAGCCACCAATATTACCATTACCACTTCAGACACGTGTACAGAAGGTGCTCTTTTATGATTATTCATTTAGTTCTGAGTACTTGAAAGTTTTATTTATTTGCGCATTTATTTTACATTCTTGATCTTCCTGAGTGGACAATATTAGGCTAATCAATTCCCAGGGTATTATAATCTTGTTTGAACTTTTAATTTGGAAAAAGTTGAATTTAGTGGATGCTTGTTCCTTAGGACTATCTGTAATTAAGTTGGAATACTTGATGAAGTACTTGAAACTGCCTTTCCTGGCAAAAGTTTCCTACTTGAGAGGCCTTTTTCTTTGAAATTTTTCAAAGGATATAAAGGCTTTTATTCCACGGTTTATTTATTTGTAATATTTAAAAAAGGAGATAATTCTATCAAACATCTGGCGAATATTGCTAGATGTCCCTATAGGTTGCGACGTTGCGTTGCTATGCAGTCTGCTGTAGACAATAACACCATTTCTGTATCTTTTATATGATTTCCTGTGCTCCACACATTGATACATGATATGATGACTATTAACAGTGTAAGGCATGGTAAAATGTTTGTTATGAGAAGGAAGTTTGGTGCCAATTTTGTTAACCACACTATATGCTACCTTATGTATATTTGATGTGTTATGACTGGAGCATGTTAATAATATTCCAAGGCTGCTTGGTTATGAAAATACTTTACAGTGACCAGTCTTTGGTCAATCTTTGTAGTGTAATCTCTCGATACATTTACTTCCACTTTTGTTTTATTGCTGCTATCTCTTTATCATGGATCTTTTGCAAAGAAAACTTTAGACCCATGACCGAAGGTCACCAGGAGAAAGAATTGTGGTGATTCACTTTAGCTACGTAGTATAAATTCTAGTTTACCTTTACCTTTATCAAAATAAATAAATACTTTTCAGTGACCAATTTATTAATCAATCTTAACATTGCAATGCTCTCAACAGCTTTATTTTTGCTTTCCCTTTATTCCTTCCATCTCTTCATCGCGGATCTTTTGACAACAAAAATTAGACTCCTGACTTCAAAAAAAAAGGGGTAGACTCATGATGTACTTCATGGTGATGTGGTTGCGGGCATTTAATTATACTTGTGTCATCCTTTGCATTATACATATGCCAAAAATCTCCTTACTGCTGGCAAAATCCTGTGGTATTTATTTGGAAGCTAATAATCTCCCTTGATTTTCTTTTCTTTTAGACAAATGGAGCTCCATATCAGGCACGTTACAACAACTACAGAGGGCGTGGCGGAAGAGGAATGGGGGTAATCGATTATGTGCATATTTAAACCATTATAAACCTAGATCTGTGTAATTTATGGTATTATATTCATATTTATTTATATCTATATCTGACGTCTTAAAGTTAAATCTTTATATTCTTTGTAAAAAGTTTTAGTCTGGAGTTATAAGTCCTTTTATGGCCGTAACAAATCTAAATCTGGCCCTTTCTGTGATGAATGGCTGAAAGGGGGTTAATCCAATATTTTTGCATTCAATTTAATCCTTAATAGTTGACTAAATGGTTGTGGTGTATATAATGCAAAGCTATGAATGCGTTGTAAGGAACTTTGTAAGCAGAGTATTTCTTCGAAACTGATTTGCTAGTATTTATCAATTCTGGTCGTGTTACCAAAAGTTTGAGTGTGCATGACCATACAAGTAGCATAGGTAGGTTTGATTAAAAAAATACAATGAAGGTAGGTACATTATGGCCTCATTTGTTTTTTTTTAAGATTAAGACATCTAAATCTGAATACACATCTGAATATCAAGATGTGTATTAAGATTAAGACATCTAAATCTGAATACACATCTGAATATTAAGATGCATATTAAGATCTGAATATTAAATGATTAAGACTGTTTGATTTTTAATTTCTGAATGTATAAAATTTATCTTTATTTGAAAATTAATAAACATAAAATTCAAATGAAATACTAATTAATCTAATATTCTATCAATAAAATATATAATTTTTTTAAAATATAGTATTTGCTGGAGGTGTTGGCTAACAGTGGTGCTTGTGAATGCCGACTAGAGGTGGTGGTTGGTGGTAGGTTTGGTTGGTGGTGGTTCAAGGTAGTAGCTAGTGGTGATTAGTAGTGCTGGCGATTATGATTTAGGATGGTGGTGGTGAGTGGTGATAGTTAATAATGGCGGGTGGTAGTGGTAGTTGTGATTGAGGAAGGTGGTGGTAGGTGGTGGTAGTTTATAATGATGGGTAGTGCCGGTTATGATTGTTGATGGTGACTGGGTGGTTAGTTGTGGTAGTTGAGGTGGATGAGTGTTTGTGGTTGAGAATGATGGTGGTGGGAGTGGTGTGGATGGCGGGTGGTGGTAGTCGATTATGGTGGCGGCTTTGATTGAGGATGATGGTGGTGATGGAGGTTGAGTATGGTGGTGGTGGCGTGGTGGTACTTGATAGTGGTAGGCGGTGACGACAATTAATAATGAATATGGATGATAGCATCTTAATGAAATTAAGTCTATGTTATGGATCTTAATCCATTAAGTGATTGTGAAGTAAAAAAAACAAACACACTTAATGATTAAGATCTGAATAATTAAGATTCAAACTTTAAAAACAAACGCACTTAATGTCTGAGATCTGAATGATTAAGATTCAGACCTTCATTAGTTGCAAACAAATGAGGCCATATGACCAACTTTGTCTGATCGCTTGAGTTTCATTGTCATTTACCCCATTTTACACTTGACGTAGCTGTTATAATCGTGAGATTTGTATGTGCCTTCAATTTACTGCTACATTTATGAACATGTTCAGCTAGCTCCCATATATACAATTCTAGGACTAGGTCTTGATATCAGTGTTTTGACTGCCATTCAATATTTTTATGTAATTGTACATGCAACCTTACATTGAAGGATGAATCTTAAGTCCACAAGTTGTGCCCTCCAATGAATAATCTGACTCGTTGCTTAAATGAATATACTAAGGTTAATGTTACGGTATTGGAGCGGTCCTTTTATTTTAATTGACTTTTGAATGCCTGAATTGTTTGGTTAGGATTATGATTTATAATAGATGACCTTTTCTTGAGTAGTTAATGATGATAGATTGATTAACTTCCTCGTCAGGTTTCAAGACCAGTAACAAAATTCGAAGAGGATTTTGATTTTATGGCCATGAATGAGAAGTTCAAGAAAGACGAAGTGTGGGGTCATCTTGGCAAAAGTAACAGAGAAGGAGATGGAAATGGCAGTGACGAAGATATCTCTTTCAATGAATATGATGATGATCTTCCTAAGATTGATGTCAAGGTGGTTGTTTAAATTCTCTTCGACCTCAATTCTTATGCATACCCCTTGTTCACGTATCTTGGACCTAGCTTTGTATTTATGTTTAAGATCTTTTCTTTCTGCAGCCTGTTTACAATAAGGATGATTTCTTCGACTCTTTGTCAAGTAATGCACTTGATAATGACCCAAATCATGGAAGGACCAGGTTCTCTGAGCAAAGGAAGATTGACGTTGAGGTATATCTGATTCTTATGCACTACTTTCCTAACTATGGCTCTTTTTCAATGAGCTAATTTGTTTTGTGGGTGCAGACGTTTGGAGATTTCTCAAGATACAGGGGTGGCCGTGGTGGTCGTGGTCCTGGACGTGGTGGACGTTCTCGAGGTTCGTATTATGGAAGAGGAGGATATGGAGGA